AGTTTAGACCGTAAAAAACGAGCTCATCGTACCTCAGCACCAGCTGTTTTGTCTGAGGAACCCAACTTCCCACATGCAAAACATTGATGTTGTTTGTATCGGCAATTTTTACAAAGGAAGTTTGGAAGTGCCTGCATGATCCAATTTAAAATAAAAATACAAGAAATTCAGATGCAACTAATGACTATGAAAACAAACAGTAAATTGAGCAAAGATATCACATGATAATAGGAGATCAATTTCCAGATGGCTACCTCAACTTGAGCCATCGTGTAGCCAAGGGATTCACAATTTGTGTCAGCACCAGCATCTTTGGTTGGATGAAAGGACCTAAGGCATCTCCCTTCGCAACTGTGCAAAATTAAAGAGTTTTGTACCTTACGGAGGAAAACACTAGAAATAAGAGAACAACATTCACAGGGTATGGGGAACTGCGTAGGCATTAATATTGGGAAATGTTTCTACTTTTCCTAGCAAAAATAGTTTTTTCATATCCCGACTGTTTTTAAAGTAGTAAAGATGGATAAGAAAATATGAGCCAAAAGGTAAATATGAAAAAGAATACATCCGTGTGAAATTTCAAGCAATGAGATGTGCACTTTACTTGTCTAAATACCTAGGAAAATACCCTCAGAGTAACAATAGGGAGAAACAATGTATACCACAAAACTTCACCGCCATTATCACAAATTGCACAGACAGAATCAAATAGTCCAGGCTCTTCCATCAAGCCATCACCAGTAGCCCCCTCATCCACTGCATTATCATAGGCAATGAGTGGCTTTTCCGCAACTGAACCACGTTCAGAAACCTATTACAGTAATAATTAATTTGTTAACGGGAGTTTTTATTTCTGAGTGTTCTCAGGTAATCAATAAACATCAAAAAAATTGAGAATTTTACTCTCACTATTAGCCACAGAGCAAAAATTGAAATCAAGAACTGAAGAAAGCTCTTCAAATGAGTTGACCAAGTTTCTACAAATTGTGCCCCTCCTTTTGAAGTGTTTGTAGTACATGTCCGACATGATGGAATGTTCAGATATCAACATGCCAAATTGTATTTTGTTCTTCTGTGACTTGAATACCAAGATCAATCCCTTGGATTAAAATCCAGATTTTGTTGTATTTGCCTATTATCCTAATGGTTTCATCTCTAGTTGGTCGTCAAGACCAGCCAAAGAAACTCTGAGACACCGACGATTCTACCACAAAGCTGTAACTGACAATAGGCATTAAGTTGTCCTGGCTTTTTGCTCATATCGTTTAAGCTCATGCTTCCAAGGAGCAACACCGAAAATTTCCCAATAAAATTTAGATAAACACTTAAGACCATGAGAATTAATATAGAGGATCTTGCACATTCTTTAGGCACAAAAAAAGCCAGGGACTGGAAAAGATCAAATTCCAAATTTAAAACAACAGAAAAATAAAGTAACTAACCCCATGAAAACTTGTTTTTTCTCCAAGCTCCTGCTTCAAGAACATCACTAATAACTGAAAAGGGTAAAAGAGATGTGAGTATATAACTGGGAAAGGCATAGTTCATACATGCATGCAAGGTTGAAGGGCTATGACTGTCACCCGAAGACAAAATGGTAATAAGCGTACTGAAATTTTAAAATAGCTAACACAAAAGGCAGTGCAAGAGCTACATGTTTATTGGTTACAAGAAAACCATAATTATGAATCTGTTTTGGTTATGACATTGAAGATTCAGGACACTTATATTTTTCGAAGTGCACATGTTGGATAAGAATACCAGTGCATGGTGCAAGGTAAAATTGGCAAAGACATTCGTTCTCATGTTGGGCTATCTTTTTTTCCTTTCCTTTTTTTGGCTTTTTTTTTAATAAACATCTGAATATGGAAAAAGGAGACCCAGCTAATTGAGCAGTTATGGAGGAAAAAAGCATGCTAGAATTAATATTATATTGAGAGACTAGGTAGACATTATTCAGCTTTTCCACGTGCAAGAACTTAGAACAAAAGTATTGTGATTAATGGGCCTAAAGCATGTGCAGAATAATCTTGTAAAGAAGGGTCCAGTTTCACCTCTTCTAGGATTGACACAACTAAAGATTTTGATCCAGAGCAACAAGCCTAATAGCCAAAATGTATACACATTCAATTTCTGACAGTAACATGGATATACAGAAGAATTATGAAACAGGACCATCAGAAGTCAGTGCTTCATAAGTAAATTGTAAAAAAGCCAAGTTTTACATGAATGGAACATAAAAGACTAACTGAAGATTGCTTGCAAACTTGTGAAAGATAAATGTACTTTCAAACACTCACAAGTCTTTTATTTGTCCATCTTACATTGAATGTGTAAAAAATGATGCATATATCCTCAACGTTACTGATTCTGATATTAAAATCTAGAGGGTTTGTGGCTTCCATGACAACAGAATAAATGAGAAGCATACCTCAGCTTTTGCTACTGTCTTATCTCTCTCTGCAATAGTTTTGATCACAGAGACATGTTGGGTAAGATCATCCTCGGTGGGCTTTTTTTCCAATGAACTGCACATACATAAACATTAAAAACCTCACAGTTAAATTTACACATATGGAAGCCTAAGCTATGACCAACCTGAAAACTTTATGCAGATGGTCCCAGAGCTCTTTTCTTGATCCTTCAGGTTTCCTTTTTAAGCAGTGAAGCCAATTTATAGTGATCAGTATCGATCCGATTATGCCCCTGTAGCTCTTCCTTGGCTCCTGCAACTTTGACCATTTGTTTCCCCTTAAAAGAACCAAAACTTCAGGTTGGTCTTCTTCAAGTCTCAGTCCCCAGGAAGTAACCTGCTCATACACTTTCTGAAGACCACCATCAGCAAGGCCACGTACAAAAATTCGTGTCTTAGTAGCATTAGATTTCTCAGTCTCCTCTAAATAGAAAGGCAAAGCAGTAAATGAGATGGGTATCCCTTTATCGTCAACAAAATAGTAATCTGTGACCAACTTCGGCAAACGCTCATCATCATTGACTGAAGAAGACATGATTCGCCTGAGACCAAATTAATGAATATGAAGAAAAAAGCAATGAGACCATAAGAAAAGGTATATCATATAAAAGGACAAGAAACATGAGGAAATCACCTCAATGTAACCCATGAAAAAAGAAGGTATACGTTTTGCATTCAACTTGCATTATATATTATATTAATGGAAAAAATAAACTTAAGATAGCCAGGTTTTATCTCAAGTTTGACGACAAACACAACAATAATATCAAACGACAAGGCATAATGATAATAGCTGGAGCCTTCATTAGGGTTGTGATGACCTAACAGATGACCAACACATTAAAGGAAGGCTGTGCTAATCTTCTAAGTCAACAAATGGTCGGCTAGTACCAATAAAGTCATCTACATTGTTTCATTACTGCCATCATCTAGTTTGTCATCCATTGTCATACTTCATGATTATGTGCTCTTCCATCAAATGGTTGGAGCTATAGAGCAAAATATTAGTCTAGAAAGCACCCCAAAAAAAAGGATCGAGTTATAAAGCAAGTAGCAAGTCGGTCCAATATTCTTTGACAAAATATCTATGAAGAGGATAGCAACTTGCAGTAAATCGCTAGAAGACCAATTGGAAATTGTTGACTGACCTAACTAATTAGCCTTGGATGTGTTCTCAAGTCCACACGTCACAAGTGTTATTTTGAACACTTGCCTACAACATGCAATATCCAAGAGTATTGTAGCTTCAACCAATGAATACTTTAGTGAAGAATTACTAAGAGAAAAGCCCATACCCCTGAATCATACTTATCTTCCTTCTCTTATCCTCTTGATTTTATTTAGGAGAAAATTTCAAAATAGACCCATTTACAATTTTATTCTCCAAAATCGGCTCATTTTAGATTTATTTACAAAAATCGACCAAGTTTTGGCCACATTAGAAGCGCGGCCTGAAACTGGGTCGGTTTTAAAAAAGTGTTTCTTTTTAATTAGTTGGGGTTGCCAACCCCGACTAATTAGACACTATTTTAATTACACTGGGTAGTAGTGGGGGTTGAAATTGTAGTCCAAAATAGTCATGATTGTCAACCCCAACTATTTAGAATGTTAATTAACCAGGTTACTAATTAGTGGGGTTGACAATCCCGACTAATTAGAAAGAAATATTTTGACCTAGTTAAAACTCGGTTGGTTTTTGTGAATATGTTTGAAATGGGTCGCTTATGGTGAATAAACTCATAAACGGGTCTGTTTTGAAAATTTCTCCTTTTTTTTTTACTATAAAGAACCTAACACTACATGCAGAAGAATAGCAGAGCTCTAATAATTGTGATTGAGCTGAATATGAAATAGTATGAGGCCAGAAAATACATCAAGCAGAGGAGAATAACTGATAATTGAGATCTGGCCCTTCTTACTAGCAAATATTGTTTCTACAGAATAATCAGAGTAATACACAGACGGGAAAAATTCACACCAACTAAGAGAAACAGCATGCAATTGGGTTTTCGGGTTTCAAACGCTAAGTAATTAATGGGTTCTTTTCTATTTACTTAATCACTTTAACAACAAAAATATATTAGCATTTTGTTGCCAGGAAGAAGAAAATTATGAATAATAATAGTAATAACAATAATAAACTACATGGATCAGGCGATCACAGGGTTAGAACCATCAAAATTATGCAAAATTAGTCCAAAAAGAAAAAAAAAAGAAAGAGAAAAACATTTGGGGAGAAGCAAAAGAGAACTCACCCAAATGCAAGAGAGGGTTTCAGTTCCTAAAACCTGGAAAAAGAAAATAAGCGAACCAACCATTAATGTTTGAGCTGCGGAAATAAATTTTTCAGTAAGTTTAACAAAAAAGAATTTGTGCTTTTTCGAGAAAAATGAAAAGTCGAATCAACCAAAAAAGGAAATTTTCCAGCTGTTATTAATAGCTTACACTGTGCTAGCGCATATAAAGAGAGCGGGAAAATTAAAGCAACAGCTCTAGTTACATGAACAGCCACGATGTCCGTGTGAAGAGAACTGCTTATGATTGCATCCGAACCGTCCATCTGATTGATTAGAGGAAGGTCATGAGACAAGAGCCGAAAGACAATTTGTGGGCCCCATGGTTAAGTGATGGGGTGAATTTGGGTGCGTCTAATGGGCGTGAAAAGTAAGTTTCTAATTTATGCACTACCCTATCCGATTGTGCAGAGTGGTGGGGACCACATTGACCACTCTTCCTACTCTAGAGTTGTGCCCTTAGTTTTTTTTCCCCTTCGATATGAAAATGGAAAGACCCTTTCTGATGGATTTCGGCCTGGTGGATTTCGGCCTGGTGATGGATTTCGGCCTTTCTTATTGAGTTGAGCCTTTCTGATGGATTTTGTTACATGGATCCGTTACGACTCAGATTGAGTTGGGCCTTTCTGATGGATTTCGACCCGGTGACCGTTCATAACAAAAATAATTTTATATATAGCCTGCCAAGTGCGGGTATGTTTTCCTAAGGTGACACCTTAGATTCCCACCTAAGGACGCGACCTAAAATCACATCATTTCTTAATTATTATTTTTTTACAATCTGCTCCGTTGAACTTGATCTACATGTTCTTAAACCCAAACACATCAATTTTGGGGTGAACTCGTCGTGTTTTGACCTTTCGTTGAGCCATGTAAAAGTTCTATTCATTCGAAACCGTTAAAATTGTGGTGAGTTGATGAAGGGTCAAAACGTGACGGGTTCACCCCAAAATTAGTGTGTTTGGATTTAAGAACGTGTAGATCAAATTCAACGGAGCGGATCGTAAAAAAATTAGGGAATGACGTGATTTTAGACCGCGTCCTTAGGTGGAAATCTAATGTGTCACCTTAGGAAAACATTTCCCGCCAAGTGCAGGTCCTTGAAACGTCCGAGTCTGAAAATTGAAGAGACAGTCCGACTCTTCCAAGCAATGGTGTTACTCATCAGTTTATGAATGGAATTTGTCAAAAGTATTTTGCTTTCAAACAATTTGTTATTGTGTTTAATTGAGATCTTTTTCTTTGGGTCTAATTCATAATTGATGTAACCGTTGCTTCATTCAATGACTATTGGCATTATATTTCACCTAGTTGCTGGATTTTTTATGGCAACTAGTATGCAATATGTGTTTTGCACGTGAGCATGCAAAGAAACCGCATGAGTTGAATCATTTGAAAACCAATTAATATTTTGCATGCAATCTTGTGACTATTTTTTTTGAGAGAAAGGATGGGATACCATAAAGATACCCCAAATCTTGTGACTATTTATGAAACACATTCTTCACATAGAGTAGAAGCTTATTGTACAGTAATTTCAATTTCAAGAAGCAATTCACTAAGTAAGATCTCAAATGCATAAGCTTCTAATATGTGATGAGAGATTGTTATTCACCAAATAAGTCCAAAAAATCTATGCTATAAAAAAACATAATTAATTACCTTAGACATATACTTTAAATAATTTGTCATTCATCACTTTCTATTTTTATCTTTTATCTATCATGTTATTTTCTATTGTGTGTATATTTTTCATGTTTGCCTTAATCTTTCATTTCAGTGTTATGCCCTTGAAATCCTCATTTTTATTGTATTATATTGGTTTGAGATCCACAATTGTGGGTTCAGATTCTCTACATCCTCAATAGTAGAGAATCCCTACAACTTGGGCTATGTAATGCTCCACATTCTTGATTGTAGAAAATGCCTACAACTCACCAATAAGCTCTTCTTATTTTGTGAACCCCACAAATGATATTAATTACATAAATTATGTAAAAACTCTCTTAGCTATGAGGCTTATTTGACGAATCAATATATTCATCCACATAAATAATTGTAGGCATCATGTGCAATGTTGTATAGGGTCTTTTCCCAGTTTTTGAAGGGTTTTCTTTCAAAATATTGATAATTGTATTTTCTATAGGGTAATTATGGAATATTATTTATTGTAGAACCCCCTAATGCTATTTTTCGTTACAACGCCCTGCTATTATAAAAATTGTTACAATCCATTTAATTTCTACCATTTTCTCTAAAGTACTCTTCAATAAATCTTCTCTCTTTCCTCAAACTATTGGGGAACCATTTTCCCTGTCTTAAAATCAAATTCAAGTAACAGCGACCATTAACAAAGAGAAAATTGATAGAGAATCAAGATAATCTCTTCAACCCTTTGATTTTAGCCTTTATTTGTGTAATTTTTTTATTTATATTTGTGTAACTTAAACACCTATAAGTAAAAGGCCAAGGTCCTGTGCCTGTATATATCACAGTTTATTTAAATATGTGGAGAAATAGGGAGGATGAGAAAATTAGTGGAGAATTTTAAGTTTAATAATGAAGGTAAAAATTAATTTTTATTAGATTATTCTAATGTTTTGTTCGTATATAATACTAGAATTCTAATTAAACTGAGACAACTCTTTGCAATTCTAAAGTGAAGTGGGCACATATGATTAATCAATGTGTATTGCTATCTTTTAGGATAACCCACTAAAGTGATCAATCAAGTTGGGTTAATGAGTATTTAAATAAGTCATGGAGTTATATGTGCAGATACCAGGTTGTAATTGTGATTTGTTGAGGGGCCAAATTGCAAATGTACAACATCTATAAATAAGGGGTTATGGTCCCTAATCTAGGGTTACATTCTCTAATTCTCTTCACCCCCATCTAGAGAGAAATTCGGCTAGAGAAAACCCTAAGGTTAGAAGATCCAAAACTCATCTCAAGAGTCATCTATGGATTCAGGTATAAGCTTCCGCTCTATTGATTCTTGTTAATCTCTTCGAATTAATCATGGCTTTATGGTTTTAGATCTCAAGTTCTTTATTAGATCTAATATCAAGCACTTAAAGTGAAAAGATATTGCACGAGCAAACATTTACACTGGTTTAATCCTGGTAACCAAATACACAACAGCGAAGAAAGTTTGCTTAACGTTGCACTTGAGTTTTCCCTAAAGACCATTTGTTTTTCCTTGAGAAATATTGATTATGGCCAGCTGTCTAGAATGTGGTTTAAAATATTTTAAAAAGTCTATACACATTAAAAAAATTCATATAAATCCTACAAAAAAATACAAAAGTAATCTCTAAAAACACAGCTCAAATAGTACGGCTCGCAACATCGGGTAATCCATTCAATTCGCAGACATACTGCAAATATGATGGTTGAAATGAAAACATTGGCTATATTATTTCACCAGAGTTTTCGTCAACCAGGTGGAGAGATTAAATTTATTGAACATGTGCGCATTTGAGGGGATGCATCAAAAGTGGCACGAACAAAGTGTGAGGGAGGTGGAGGGTTGAAGGAGGCCATCGGAAGGGGAGAGGGAGAAGAAGAGGGTGGTGTGGGGGTCGACACAGAGGTTGCTAGAACTGATCGGCTAACAAAGGCGAGAGGCGAAATTTGTAGGTGGTGGAAGGCAGAGTGCTAAACTGCTTATGGTTTCAGGATAAAGAAATCAGGTTTTAGGATACTATGCAGAAAAATTCCTCAAGGACCCAAAATATGGGACCAATAGAGGGGACAAGTGAGGTGTCCCCCTCCTATTGGATAATGAGTTGGTCATCATTAATGATGGCCAACTATTATCCAATAGGAGGGGGACATCTTACTTGTCCCTTCTATTGGTCCCATATTTTGGGTCCCTGTAGCAAAGCTCTATTATGCATGGATAAGTGAAATGATTAATTAAAAAGAGAGAAATGGAGGTAGTGATGTGGCATAATCTTGCCCCTACATCACACCTCGAAAATAGAGCCTCAACCACCCTTCACCAACTCCAATGTAGATGTAGGGACAAGATTATGCCACATCACTACCAAGTTGCTTGGAGCAACTTGGTACCAAGTTTCTCAATTTCTCTCAATTAAAAAATAGTAATATTGAGCATGGGGGGTTGAAAGGGCACGGTTAATGAGTAGAGGGGGTAGGGGGAGTTGAAAGTAGGGGTGTGCAACGGTCGGTTCGGTTCGGTTTTTATCAAAATTTGAACAACCGAACCGAACCGTCTATAATTCAAAACCGAACCGAACTATTGCAAGTCGGTTCGGTTTGTTCGGTTCAGTTTGTTCGGTTCTAACTTCATCAAACTTCTTATCAAACAACAAACTGTGTTAAAGAAAAAAGATATCAACAAAGTAGGAGATTATGAAGCATTAAACACTGATATAATGATATTATTTTTAACCCATAATGATTCAGAAAATGAGTTTAGGGTTTGAGTCTTTGACTCTTTGGGGACGGGTCGGGTAGGTTTGAGATCAGAATGGGTAGTATTGCACTATATTCGGTCGGTTCGGGTCGGTTCGGTTCGGTTCGGGTTAAAAAGTTTTCAAACCGATCCAAACCGCCCTACTCATAAAACCGATTTTTTCGGGTCGGTTCGGATCGGTTCGGTCGGTTTTTTCGGTTTGGACCGAACCATGCTCAGCCCTAGTTGAAAGGGCACGGTTAATGACAACATGGAGAGAGAGTTTACGAATTGGGTAGGGGGAGTTGAAAGAGCACAGTTAATGATAACATGGAGAGAGAGTTACGAATTGGGGCAATCAATGATGATAATCCCCACTACCCGAGTCCTCTACTATTAAATTCAAATGCTAATCTTCATTTCATTTTGAAAATGCATACTACAATTGTTGCTACATAGATGGTCATGAAAAAACATCAAACCAAGTATATCATATTTCTAAAATTCAATTTGTTGAAATGTTTTCTTTCGATTGTTTCTTCGAACGCTTTGTTTTGTTTGGTTTTTTTTATCCTTAATTGATCACATGCTTTGCAACTTTGGTGGCATTTTTCTCTTCATGAGCCCAGTGAAAAGTTTGCAGTTCCTTCTTGGGGCTATGCAATAGCCCCCCAAAAAACTTCCCATTCGTTCTCCTCATTTTTCAGTTGCTATGCTAATTCGAGCTTGTTTAGCTCTCTATTCTCGGGTATTTTGTGCTCATTTGGGCTTGTTGTCGAGATATGAAGGCTGTTTTTTGGTTGTTATGCTGATTCGAGCTTGTTTAGCTCTTTATTGTTGGGAATTTGGTGAGTACTTGGGCTTGTAGTCGAGCTCCTAAAGCTGTTTTTTCAGTTAATATGCAGATTCGAGCTAGTTTAGCTCTCTATTGTTGGATATATGGTGGTCATTGGGCTTGTTGTCGAACGATGGATGCTGTTTTGTGGTTATTATGCTAATTCGAGCTTGTTTAGCTCTCTATTGTTGGCTATGTAATTGATATTTTTGCTTGTTGTCGGGTTGTTTTGGCTATTATTTTGGTTTCATGGTCAATCAAGCTTGTTTAGCTCTATATTGTTAGGACTAGCCATTAAACTAGCCATTATTAAATAAAATAATAAATATGGTAGTTAACAATTTTCTATAAATTTGACATATGTAACCAAACAAAAGAAAAAGAAAAGTTGCTATTTCTATAAAGTGTGTGGCACATTTTCTTGTTTTGAACCAAACAAACAAACTTCAAAAAACAAGAAAAATTTGTACTTTTTGACTTCCCAAATCTTTTCCTATAATTTTTTTAAGAAGTACAAGGGAATCAAATTTTTGATGGAAAACATTTCCTACAATTTATAGAAATGTAACCAAACACCCCCTAAACATCTATCCTCATAAGTTTGTGACTCTTCGGATGTGTCCATCTTGAACATGCTGTTGAAGTATGTTATATTTTTTGAGTTCTTAGGTGGGCAAGATGATATTTTTGCCTCTAAATATTGTTCGGTGTATCAATATACTAGTTGGATTGCACGTGCCATGCACGTGGTAATTTTTTAAATTTATTATTTTATTATTGATTCATTTCATTATGATTTATTTAATTTAATCCATATTTCAAACAAACAATCCTTATTACAACATAAATAATAAATAACATAATAACAAAACTTTCTATCTCCCCTCTCATCTAATTGCGCTAGAGTCATTTTGTTATAGGGGAACTTGGAGTGTCGTCCTAAGGTTGCAAAATATTAAATTTCATGGTCAATAACCTAAATCACATAATAATGTTCTAATTCATAGTCTTAACACCAGTTACAAGAGATTTAATGACAATTTAATGCTACCCTTCCGTATTTCCAGTAATTTATCACAACAAAAATAATAAAAGAACTTTTTTTATAAAATCATACATCTAGAATCACAAACATTATAAGCAACAGAACATGTCCAAGCCTTGGTTTCACAATGATTCAATAAAAAAACAAAGGAACATAATCAAGTTCGATATTATTAATAACAGCCGATATCGCAATACCTAGAACAATAGTTTGTGATTTCACAATCATTGTTTCAATATAGTAATAATAACAGGAAAAAATGGAGGAAATATAAGGAGTAGGCGAGAATTTGAGGAAGGACAGAATGGTAATGAGACAAAGTAGCAGGCAAATGAAGAGGAATAGAGAATGTAGTAGTAATATCAATGAGGCGCACGGAGGTGCACCAAGGCGTGAGTCACAATAAGGTGTATTGAGGTGTGCGCCTCACTTACACAATGCACCCCACATCTCATGCAGAGCACGGTTTCAGTGCCTTGAACCGCCTCAGCACCCAAGCAGATTGCCTTAGAGCGCCCAATATAACACTGGAAGGAATTATGCATTAATAGGAGAGCTGTGGATTTGTACAAAGACACGCCTACATATCAAGTGGTCCAAAACAAAGAATCTCAATCAATAAGTGCATAATGGAGGATAGGATGCTACAAAGATGGGTAAACTAAACTCTATTAATGAAAGGGTCAAGCACGGAATTTTCTTACTACAAAGGCAATAGATTAAAACAGATTAATGAGATTAAAAGTGCAAACAAAGGCTGGAGCCAGAAAACCATATTGCATGAATAGATCAGTAGGTGCCTGCATTGAAAAAATGAAAAAAAAATACTTTTATCTGGTTAGATTTTTAAATGTACTCATAACATTCTCCTAATCTTCTTAATTCAATCCTTAAATTATACTATTTATCACCTTTGTTAAAGCCTTGAAGGTAATTGAACTACTATTCTTATCATAATATAACATCTTACTCCATCCTTAAAGTATCTCCTGTTTTGCTTTATTACAATGGGAAAACGTTATGATAAACAACCCATTAAAACATTAGTTTATTATTTGTTTGAATTGGTATTGTTTCTGAATACGCGTCAAGAACATCTTTGTGTCCATACATGCACATTTCATCCTTCTCCAAATTTTACACATTGGATTACTATTAGTTTGACTGGTTATTACACATTATCTAAATCTTGTTATTTTACAATGGCGCTGGTTGGTTTTGTCTTTTGAAATGAAAAGTAAATAATTGTGTTTTCCTACAAGAAGCGAAAGAAGTATGCAAAGCAGGTTAGCCAGTACTCAAAAGTTTGAGATGTTTGTCATTATAACATTCCAAGCATAGAGAATTACATTGCATTAAATATATCTGATAACGCGCATGAAAAATTAAAAGCTAACAACAGAGGATCATTGGTGAGACTTTAAGAACAAAAAATCGTTAGCGTACCACACCTAAAAGCATCATAAAATAAGTCTTAGATGCAATGAAGAAGTCGAAATCTTATTAAGTAACCAGATATCCTTGTACCTTAAGGACAGCAACGACCAGACACAGAACTCCGGTCCACTACCCAAGCCACCAAGGCCAGCTGTGATGCGATAAATTTCATGAAATGATGTAGTGTCCCAGCATCTTATGATACTATAAAAGTTAGAAAATGTATTAGAACCAAACAAGGAGAAGGAATAGATGAAGCAATTATCCATTGGTTATATAAGTAAAACAACTGAGAAGGGAATTTCATTAAATTGCAAGCAGAAAAGAATAAACTCAAAATTTCCAACTACTTTGTAGATATAGTCAGGCAAGCAGAAGTAAACAAGTCTTTGCAAATAAAATTAAGCAAAACTTGCTGCAGCCAACTAATGAAACATACCCTTCGCTACTGCCGGAAAATATTAGCTTTGCATTGAAACTCCAAGCAACACTTAGGATGCGTCCTGCACATAAAAATGATTGATAACTACTGTAAAAGGTATTATAAAAGTGAAAAAAAGAGAGGGTAAGTGTATGAGTCTAACCGCTAACTCGAGGAAATGATCTATAATAAGTTAGTCCATTTGTATCGGACATGTAATATAATCGTACACAACCATCATCACAGGCAACGGCTACCCGCTGATCATTTTTTCCAATAAATGCAGTATGAGATTCATCTAAATCATAATCATCGTCAGTACAACCAGACTCACAATCACTGTAAAGATCATTTGCATCTCCACTGGCCATTTGATGTGAGTTAATTTTCTTAGAATGTGGACAATCATCAAGCGGTTCTACATTCATCTGCCAAATTGACACTCCAACTGAATCTAGAAGAGTCTACAAATCAAACAAATAAAGGGAACTCATAGTAAGTAGACAAAGTGTTGATCTCATTAAGAAAAATATAGCAAAATGTGCTCAATGCTCAACAAACACTGACTTTGTGTTGCATTATACAATCCCAAAAATGCCAAAAAGAAAAAGAAAACAAGAAAAGGAATAGAGAGGGGGGGGAGGTGAGATATAAAACAAGGATGCAAGAACTACTAAACAGTTCAAAAATACAAAATTCACGTCGAATACCATGCTATTTTGATGCGGTGTTCAAGAAAAGAATGATGAAATGTTGCAATCATATAACAGATATATTGGTAATTTAATGGTGTGGTCTGGTCAATATGAAAAACTTAAGAAATTACAACTTTCGGCCATCCTGTCACTTGCATATGAATCTAATCTCATGTGTAGGTATGACGTAAAACAATAACCAAAAAAGAAAAAAAATTGAAGCATCTGTCCTAAACTTTTAGGGTTAGTACACTGAATCCGTTTCTTCCATTCAATTTAGTTAATAAGATAGTCCTTTAAAGATTAAGGGAACGATTTTAAAACTACTTCAAAAATGTTTGTTTGTATTCATATATGTGAATAGAAAGGAATACTTTAGCTGCTCACTGAATTTCATAAGCATATGCCTTACTTTGTGTATATCATGTGGCAGAAAAGTTGAAGATAGTGGAATGTAGAGTGTCATGGAATACCAAGCCATGTGCTAAGCAAACAACAGAAAACACACAAAAGTATTCAGTCAAAAAAAAGTTGCTCACCCAACTAAATCAGCCGCAAGAACAGATCTCAACAAATCTGAACGAGATGGAATAGTCCTATGAATCTCAGAAGAAGGGAACGGTGTATGAAGAAACCATCCAACTTTCATATTGCTGTTATATTCCTTCAAACATTTGGGAAGAAACATTAGATGATAATCATGGCACCAAACAACATCCCCCTCTTCATAGTGCTCATTGTCAACATCAGCAAACATCTGGTTTGCCCTCTTGTATGCATCAAACTGAGACTGGAAGCTACGGGTTGTGGCTAATCGATCTTCTTGAGGGAGTCCGAGGTAATGGAAGAGAGGCCATAGGATGTTGTTACAGTATCCATTGTAATATTGGTGCACTATTTCCTCATCAAGGAAAACTGGAATGCATCTCTGTTTGCAAATATAACAACATTTTATATTAGATTACAAAAGCATGAATGTTAAGAGCTCATCAACTTTATACCTTTTCAGCTAGAGCTTTTGTAAGAGCTCTCTGCCAAATTTCATCTGGCACATTTACACCGACCCATCCGATCCATTTAGCGTCTACCTCCTTTACCCCTAAAATAATGCAATCAAATTCTCATTATGTCATCAGTCATCTCGCTAACGAGTGATTAAAATTCTCCATTATAGAACATTAGACCAAGAAGCAATCATGCAATACAATTTAGCTTCAACCTCCTCACCTCTAAAATAATGCAAGAAAATTCTAGTCATTCTACCATATTGCTACCAAATTGGTCAAAATTCTCAATCATATATAAAACAATTATAGCAACAAGCAACCATGCACTAAAACTTAGCATCCACCTCCTCCACCCACGAACTAATGCAACAAAACTCCCATCATTGCATCATTTTTAACTCCAAAAACTTTATTAAATTCCCTATTCTAAACTAACATGACGACGAAGCAACCATGCAGTGGAGATAAGACTAAAGCTCAAGCTCTCACCAAGCAGAGCGCTGACAAGGCCGCCCGCGCTGATATCAAGCGACCAAGATTCCTCCCCCCTTCTGACCGCCGACACCGGCAGCCGGTTCGCCACCACCAGCAGCCTCTGCTTCATCGGCCGCCCTCCTCTACCTCCGCCGTGCCCTTCACATCACCGTCGTGGCAGGGGTGGAGCCCACATCATCACCGGGTGGGTCCAGCGGCCTCATCTCCTGCTCGAGCAGGAGGACGGGCCCCACCTCCTCGAGCCCGCCAGGCTCAGCCTCGACGATGTTGAAGGACATGTTGAACCTCCTGAGCTCCCTCTCTCGCAGGAGCCTCTCAACCCTAGTTAGGTTTCTTGAATTGTACTTGCTCGCTGGCATTTGATCGGCTTGCACCGCTGCGGGCTTCATCGATCGCTCGATCCCTAGACGCCCTGCATTGAAACAGCCCCCAACCTCCCATCAATTCACAAACACAACCAGATTCAAAACACTAAGAAATTTTTATGTACACTGGAACCGACATTGGAGAGAATCTCGGTAAAAAAAAGTGAAACAGGAGGAAGATGATGGAGGGATCTTATACGTTTTCTACCGGGGGAGTTGTGGGGACGGCTCAGGTTGGGAGGAGGTACATAGGCGTAACGGATGAAAGGGTAAAGTGGCTGATTTCAGGATATGTTTGGTAATTAAATTTGTTGGAATGATATTTTGAGGAGGGTAAAGTTTTTCATGAACTCCCTCTTTTAAAGGGTAGATAGATATGCGAGCTGTTGGCTACTTTGTTACCGTTGCGTGCATATGACCGTTGGATTGATCTTCCAATGAGCGTTACGATTACCAACTCACTTTGGATGATCTCTACTTTTGTCTTATTTAGATGGTATTCTCACCATGGCTACTATGCTCATGAATTCCTATGGTGTCCCATCACTGATCAAACAAAGAGAAGTTGATCGAGGGAACCATTTTCAATTCATGTGTTTTCTTATTTTTTTGGTCTGTGTAATAAATTAATGATTGTGCTGAAAATCATTTCTGTCTCGTTTTTTCATGGCGAAACAAAACTTGTAAAAACATTTTTTCAAGAAACTCATGGAAAAACTTGAAATTAGTTTCTACTATTTTTTTAGATTCCCTATATTCTTAACAAATAGCCCCCTTACTGTCACAGGATTATCTATCTCAATTATTCACGTTTTGCTCTTTGGGTTTTGTTAGAAATTTTTAGTCCTCTTGAGACACGTGACAATGCACACGTATCTTGTAATAACAAGATTAGTCCAGTACAAAATTTATATATTACTCAAAGGTTCATTTTCACTCTGGCACCCTAAAAATTATCTGTCTTTTTACTTTTGACACCTTGAAGTATTTTTTAACACTTTCATACCAAAAGTTCCATTTCCATTTTCCCATTCATGCTACCGTCCATATTTTGTTAGGCTTCCTATTAAATTTGTACATGTAAGGCCCATTTTCCTAGTTGCCAAGGGTTCATGCAACGAAATGTTCATAGCGATAGTGAAGAACATGCCGTATAGTTTTTTTTAATCAATTGAAAATCTAGGTGAGGTAACAAAGTGAAATGAGATCAAGCTCCAGGATATCAAAGCATAAATTTTTTTTAGAGTATCACTGTGATAAAATAGGCATACTTCTACTCCTCTATACTTAAAAGAAGATCCAAGATTTGCTGTTCATGATACAATAAATTACTATAGCATAAACAATAAATCTTTGGGTCCTCCCTTGGCCATACAGGAGTAAACTTACTGTTTTTGCTATAGTAATTTAGTGTATCGGGAACAATATCTTTTAAGTATAGAACAATAGATATGATTTTTAATTTTAAGTACACAATAATCAAATTAAATGTATTAAACGTGATAGAGAATAGGTCCAAAATGTAATGCGTACGCACTAGTCGAGCGTGAAAGCCAAAATAAATCCTTCTCAAATCCAAAATTCCCAACTAGGAGACTTGAATTCGATCGCATGCGCGTACCCGGACCGACCCAGTTGCATCCCTCCTCGTCACGAACCCGACCGTTCAGAACAAGTCCACGCTCCCCACCCCAAGTCACTTCCCCAACCCACCCGCCGACCCAAATGCCACCCGCCTTCACCCACCCGCCGACCCTGGTTACAGTCCATCGACCCGGACCTCGGACACATCTCGACCTCGACCCCGAAGACCTCCAACCCTCAATCCCCTTGAAAAAAGTCCCCGCCGGCGACGTCTTCGAGGCCGCGCGCGCCGGCGACGTCGAACGCCTCCGCCACCTCCTCGACAACGGCCTCGTCGTCAACGTCAACGCTAGGGACCGATGGGACTCCGTCGCCTTATACTACGCTTGCCTCGCTGGACACGTGGAGGCCGCTCGGATGCTTTTAGAAGCCGGGGCGATTTGCTCGGAGAGGACTTTTGATGGCGATCGGTGCCATTACGCGGCGCTGAATCTTAGGGTTAGGAGGCTGTTGAAGGCGTTCGAGGCGAGCCGCCGCCGTTGGGGCCGTTGGCGGAGACGCTTAGGGATACGTTTTTGGGGTGTGCGGCGAATCGAGCGGCGTTTTTTGAGCAGCAGGGTGAGGAGAACGCGGGAGCTGCGGCTGTAGCAAAAAAAGGTTAGGGTTTTGGTTGATTAGATAAATGGAAGTCCATACTTTTGCATGTTAGAATTTTTTTTGTTAGTGAAATTAGGATTTGTGTGAATTTTTAGGAACGTTAGAAGGGAACAAGAACGATCTTTGAACATTGTTAATGCAACTTCTGCAGAATGCTGACAAAAATTGTTAGCTTTACTTTATGATTGATATTAATCTACCTCTTTTCATTGACTGTGAAGGATTTTGTTATGCTTTGTCAGGATATAGTTCTCTTGGCGCTATGGGTCTTGTGGAGAGGCAATAACATACGGAGAAGAAGTGAAGTGAAGCCTACTATCATAGAGAAAAAGAAAAAGCTAGACTTAGCACAACCTAAATGAAATGCATGGCACAGGAAAGAAATAGTTCACATACTTTTTTGGCCTAGAAATATATAAATATGACTATTTCCATTTATTGGCTTCAATTTGTTGTCAAATTGAGAAGAAATGTTCATGGAACATTGGTTATTTATGGGCAATTAACTCTCTTGGGAGAAAATTTATGAGATGGCCAGGTGTTCTTGTTAGGAATCTTGTAGTTGATGAACATGTTTGAACTAATGCCTCGTTTGTTACATGGGAATGGAGTCAAGTGAGAATGAGATAGAATTAGGAACAAAATGGAATGGATGTGGGAATGGAATACTCATTCTAATTCTTATGTTTGGATGCGATTATAGAATAAAGGGGGAATGACAATCTTATTTTTGATATGGGTAACTAATAAGCAATCAAGATGTTGTTCTAAATTTTTGTTCTCACTTAAGTGGGAATGTCCAATCCCTGCCATCGCATAAGGAATGTTCATTACCATATCAAGTGGGAATGGATGAGAAGTGTGAATGATCACTCTAGCTTCTAAAATGGTGTTGTGTTTGGTATGCATTAATGAAAAGTGGAAATGAGCATTCCATTCTCACCTATTCCCAATGTTTTAAAAAACCTCCGCCTAGTCCGCTTAGGCGTACGTCTACGCCTAGACAGTACCTAGGCCGCCTAACTAGCGCCTAGCATCTAGGCGGTATTTAGGCTGCCCACCTAGATTTTACGAGCGTTTAGGGGAGCATTGTCTGCTTACGTGGATTGCACCCTGTAGGCATTGATTGTGATTTTATGTGTCGTAGCTTACACGTCCTCCAAACTCCATTAACCTCCAAATATGAACATCTCCACTACCTCCTCCGACCTTCAACAAAACCTAATTGACCACCACTTAAATGAAGAAAGAAAAAAAAAACGCCCAGAAACCGCTTAGGCGCCTGCTTAGGCGACTAAGCGCTGGGCATCAAGTCCGACGCCTAGAAGCGCCCAGCGTTTAATGTAACATTGCCTATTCCCATGTATCAAATAAGGTGTAAGGGTGTTGCTGAATGAGAATGTTAGGACGGATGAGGAGAAGGATGCTAAAAGATCATTAAGTCATAAGTAAGGAAGTCAAAGATTGCTATGGTTGAGGATAAGCTAAAGATTGTTAAAAATGCTCTAGACATATGCCAGCAGCTCTATGAGTCCACTAGCCTTGTTTAATGGAGGACTAAAAACGTCTTCATAGAGTTGAATGCAGAAAAGTTTTTATGTACATAATCCCGACATTTGAGGGGAGCATGCAATGACTTCTTCGTTATGTTCAAAACAAATGATTATCATAAAATTATAGTTAAACACCAGCAGATGACTTTAGAAGCACATGCTACACAATGACATTTCTTTCATTTAAAACTTGTGTGGATAGTTGATCCAAATTAGAGGCACAGAATATCAACAAAACCAAAACACACACACACACACCCAGCCACCCCAAAAAAAGAGAAGAAAGAAAGCACCTACACACGCACAAATACAATATGCAATAAGGGACATAGAGGATGACCACGTGGGGAAAAAGTGTATAGGAGATCAATTGCCTGCACATGCATTAACTTCTTATCCCTAGAGCTCACATCCACACATGCATAAGCACAATATGTGGATGGTAATAAGGAAGATATGTATGGGGTAATGGATATCAAGTTCCTTTGTTTACATTATCTTTGCAGAGCTTAACGATTTTAGTGCAAACCTTTTTTTGTCATGGTTATATCGTTTGACACTTGCATTCTAGTTTTCTCCAAACATTTTATTTTAATGTTGAGTATCCGGACTTCCTTTCCCCCATATACTATTAACTCTCAACGTTGAATAAACAGGTTTTGCTTCACTGAATGGATCTGGTTCTAGCTCCTTCCCTCCAGATATCATATTCTATGTGGATGGAAGGCCGATTGAAGCTCACCGTGTCATTCTAAGTGCACGTTCTCCCTTCTTTAAAAAGAAATTTGAAGGGGAATGGAAGGAAAGGAAGGAAGTGAGATTCTCGAGGCAAAAATTATCTTATCCTGCACTCTATAGTCTTATTCACTTCTTCTACTCTGATAGACTCGAAGTTGCAGTTGATGACATGGAAGATCTTGTACGCACATGCAAAGCTTGCAAATGTGAGGAATTGCAGAAGATCCTGGAGAAGGAATTAGTTCACCAAACTTATGCTGAGTATAAATCATTGAGGGAGGTTGATAATTCTCAGAAAAGGTTTATATTACAGGGCTCATCTCTACCAGAGCAGGATAGGCTTCCTTCTGCCTTGCACAGGATTCTAGAAACTTCCCTTGCAAACTCCAGCAAGGAGAACGGCAGTCCATCTGATAATGATCTTGCCGACGTTTGCATAAAAGTTGGTAACAGGAAATTTTATTGCCACCAAGTGATCCTAGCATCACGTTCGGAGTATTTCAAAGCTAGATTGTCTCGGATGACTGATTTTCTTGAAGGAAATGATGAGCTTCAAAGCCAATCCCTTCCCTTTTTTGAGGAGCATGACTTGAGTACAGAGGCATTTGAAAAGATGATAGAATACATGTAAGCGTGTTGTTCTTAAATATATACTTTTCTACTCATCCATAAGATAGATAGTTACACCTGATACATCTGGCTCCAGGTATACTGATGGCTTGAAGGATTTAGATCCTGATCAGGTATTTTGGAAAAATTTTAGATGACATTCTTTTATCACTTGGTATCTTAGTTTTCTAAGTATATGATGAATTTTGATTGGTCAGGCTGAGGAAATTTTTGATGCTTCTTCAAGATACTTGTTATTTCCTTTGAAGAGAGCTGTTGCAGATGTTCTGCTACCGTTGATGCTATCAGACATGTACGTTTTGTTCATAATATATTTGCCATATTCTTTTACCTTTTGTTAATTAAATCTTCCATGTTATTAATTTCTTTATATTTGAATGTACATAGGTGTAGCACTATTTGTTTTTGTTATTTGCTGATTTATTGATCACACGACGTGCTTAGTTTATGAATTGATAATTTATGAATTCAGATTCATCCTTATGACAGAATCTAGTTAGAGAATTGACTTAAACTTCTTTCACAATGATTTCTCCTATAATTGTCATCAGAGGCCAAAGATATAATAACTACATGAATGAAATTTGTTTTGCAACACTTCCTTTCACCATCATCATCATCCGATACCTTTTCCAAATTAAATCAGGCCAGTAATGAAGCATGACTAGAGGAAAATAAAGCCTTAATAAATTGTCGGAAGTTCTCTATATGGCAGTTGTCACTATATAGCAGTTGTCAAATTCCTGGTCAAGGAAACTATGCAACAGATGACTTGTCATAAGACTTTGAGTTGTCTGGCGGAAAGGTCGTTGTCTGGCAATCAATATAAAGTTCACATCACGTAGCAGTGCTGTTGTAAATTCAATGAAAAAGTCCACCTGAAGGGATAACAGGATGAAATATTTGATTTAAACCTTGGTCTCTGCAAACTATTACCTGCACTATACCACTCACGCATCTATGCAACCTACTGATATATAATTTAGTTTCTTACAGCTTGAGACATTCAATAGAGAGATTACCTAAATATACTCATTTAAGCTTTTACTCGGCCATGTGAAATCCTGAAACCTTAGTTAATGTTTAGGCATATTCCTTGGCCATATATTATTCTTTTGGGCAACATGTGCTAGTGCTCATTATCTCTCTTTTATGATGAAACGAAATCAAGCCGTTCCACCTAAATTATCTCTCTTTTGGTTTCAGTTAATAACTAAACCACATAAAATACAACGATCCTTGTTTTCCTCCCCTGACCTATTATCCTAATCTCTCTGCTGTTTAAGATTTTGAAGATTAGAAGATTTGTTTGGTAATTTATACTGTCCTGTTAACTGGGTATGCTCATTACAAGCTATTTCGGCAGCGTATGCAGTGAACTTACTGTGAAGCAGAAACTGGCAGATCTGATGAATGAGTGGCTCAGAGGTTAATTGACCTACACATAAATGATGATGCTTATGAATGTACGTGTTGGTTTAAATAAATTCAATGGTTAGGTTTAGACAAATACGCCTAGATCTAAACAACTGCGACCTCAGGACATGAGATATGTTCATTAAAGATGTAAGGTTGAACCAATAAAGAAAGGAAATACATTGGTGAAGATTTACTATAATTCTATTTGAGATCCATTTACATATCTTAACCTGACAAGTATATGCATCCCATGTTGCTTTCAGTTTCATCTCTTGCCTGCGTTTTAATTTTTTGGAACTGAGGTGCCACTTGGCAAGGGTTTAAGAGAGAAGGATTAAGTTAGTTAACCAGTCATGAGGGGTTTAAATAATTATTTCCGTTTGGAATAGATAGGTCAGATGACTTTTTTTATTTGGCAAATGGAGAAGAGTTAAGGAAGTTAATTATCTTTTTTTTTTAAGTACAGACTTTGATCTTATTGGAATAGGTAAATTTATTAATAAATAATTCATCAAAATAATTTCAACTGGAATTTGCATTCATTTGAATTATTAAAATGTTATCATTTTTGTATTATTTTAATAAATGAGTGGTGAGGAGGGAAACAAAAATCAACTAAAAATATATATTTTATTTGCAAAGAACAGTTTTCAACATAAATCAAATAAAGTTTCATCAATGACTTCCAAATACACCTAAATATACGCATATATCATCCCACATATAACATATACATCTCATCCACCAAAGAATCGTTCTCAGCCAGGCCAAGAATAAGTTTAATAACGGCAACCAAAATTAAGTTGAGGAGCAGTTAGTTAACAAAGCACTGAGGATAAGCTCAAGCGATCTCGTTTCTTTTCTCTTATTATTATTATTATTATTATTATTATTATTATAAAACTATTCTTCTCTTGCATATTAGAGCAACTCCAATGGGGAGGCTGCAAAATGCAGCCTCCCCAAAGAATATTCTCTTGAATATTCCTTTTTAGAGGGGGGCACTCCAACCACCCCTCTATATGAAGCTCCATTTATATTTTTAATTGATTGTTTTTATAATACTTTAAATAGATTTAAAAATATAAAAAATATAAAATATTTAAAAAAATTATATGAATTAATTTAAAATATAAAATATATTATAAATTAATATTAAAATTATAATATATAATATATTTATTATTTAAATAAAATTAATTATCTTTAATAAATTGATAATAAGACAGATAAGAGCCTTTAAAATTTAAAAACCAGAAAATATAGCATAATATTTGGAACAATTTTCATAACTATTCCGAATGATGAAATTTTATATATTACATTCAGCGACATTACATAGAAAAATACTAAATCAACGACCATTACATAGAAAACAAAAGCATGAATTAAAAATTACATGAAAAATAAGAAAAACATAATACATGAAAAATACTAAAAGTCTGGAAAGTTAACTCCTCCGTATCCACCTACTCTATAGTCAGGTGTTCCGTATTGACTTCCTGCGTAGCTGTATTCAGGATTAGGGGTATCAGATGAGGAACCATTAGCTATAGTTCTATTTAAAATCTGTTGTTGTTTAATTCGAAAATATTCGCGTTTTGTTGTATCGGTAATATCATCCAGATCAACTAGCATAATTTCATTCTCTTGTCGTTCTTGCTGAAGATCTAACTTTTTCTTATCATTTTTAGCCTTTAACATCATAGCATGGTTCATCGTCATTCTTTTATTTTCTCGTTATTCTTGACCTCTTTTTAAAACTTCTAAGATTTCTTGGTTTTCTTTAGCAAAAACTTCAAAGTTAAGGTTCTTTTCAATTTCTTACCGTCTTCTCAACTTCTCTTTCTTCCTTCCAATAGGTCGACTAGTTGAAATGTTGATTGTCGAATGGTCGTCGTCATTAGGAGTATATCCCTCATTGTCTTCATTTAAGTCGATGACATGAGAGCTTGAATCAGATCCTTGAGATAAGGGAGACTTTGAAGTTTTGAAAGTTGCAAGAGACATGACGCTTCTATTTGCCCATTTCTCTGCATCCTTCAAAATCGACCAAACATGATCAAATAGAAATCATCTTTTCTCTTCTGGATCTTCTGCAAATATGACCCTAGCACGTTTATTCTACCACAAAAGAAGAAATAGGAATTAATAAAATAAGAAATAATTTAATAACCAAGAAACATGTAATTCATATACTTACAATATCAAGTTCAGAAGCACCACTTGGATTGAGGCGCTCGACTTGTTGAATACATCCTCAAAATTTGCTGATGGCTTTCATAATTAATTGCATTTGGCATGAGAGAGACTTCAGACTCCTATGTACAGTGCAAATGTTGGAAATCCTTTCGTGAAATAGAGTTGAAATTCGCTCTCATAGCTTTTCTTTCTTTTGATTGGAACCTAAAACTGGATCCTGAGATACTTTAAGCCATGTAGCACATAAAATTTGATCTTCTTCTTGTAAGAATGATTTTCCGCGAGTGGATGCCATAAGAGAGGAGTTATGGAGGAGGAATGTGAAGAGTTGTGATGGAGGAATGAGGATTGTGCTAGTATTTATAGTGAAAAAATTATGAAGAATCCAATATGGGTAGAAAACCAATGCCAGTGGGAGAATCCAATGTAGGTAGAAAACGATGCGGGAAAGAATCCAATGTGGATAGAAAACCAATGTCAGTGGAAAAATTCAATGTGGGTAGAAAACGATACGGGAAAGAATCAAATGTGGGTAGAAAACCAACGCCAGTGGGAGAATTCAATGTGGGTAGAAAACGATACGGGTGAGAGAATCCAATGTGGGTAGAAACATTATATAATGACAACGTACAACTATTAACAACTCATCACCAATCTTCTTTCATTTCTCCAAACCCCCTCTTCAACAATGAACTATGGAGCTGGACCATCACATCTACCTTCTTCTTCTTCTTCTGATGACGAAACCTTTTCTCATTACGTTGAACAATGAGAGGAGGATATGAAACAATGGGAGGAGGAAGATGAAACCTTAGCTCGTCTATATGCCTCTAACAACGAAATAATGAGTTATTTCTCTAAAGAGGAAGAGAGGCTAAAGCGTATCGGCTCAGTGCCTGGTCATTTGGTAATCAATCGTGGGAGGAAAGAAGGTAATTTCTCTACAATGACTATTTTTCTGATAATCCCACATACAGTGCAAATTTATTCCGTAGAAGATTCCGAATGCAAACGAATCTTTTCCTTTGTATCGTGGACGCTGTACGAGAGCACGACAACTATTTCGTACGAAAGGTGGATGGTGTCGGCCGGCTTGGACTGTCTACTTTACAAAAAGTAACAACAACACTTCATATGTTGGCGTATGGTGCATCGGCAGATAGTACTGATGAATATGTAAGGATTGGTGAGTTAACTGTAATTGAATGTTTGAAGAGATTTTGCAGAACAATTGTAGAAGTGTATGGAGATGAATATCTTAGATCCTCTAATACCGACGATGTTGTAAGACTGTTATAAAAAGGCGAAGAGTAAGGTTTCTCAGGAATGTTGGGAAGTCTAGACTATATGCATTGGGAATGAAAAAACTATCCAACAGCATGAGCGGGACAATACTTAGGACGTCACGGAGGCCCAACCATTATTCTTGAGGCAGTAGTATCATATGACCTATGGATATGACATGCATTCTTTGGCTTGCCAGGTTCTAATAATATTAATTTGTTTGACAACCTAACACAATGTATTACTCCTCCTGCTCATTATACAATTCAAGGAAAGAATTATGATGTCGGTTATTATTTGACCGATGGCATATATCCGAAATGGCCAACGCTTGTTCAAACCATTTTCAAATCCGAAGATAAAAAAGAAATAATATTTTGCAATGATGCAAGAAACTTGTCGAAAAGATGTGGAGTGAGTGTTTGGTGTTCTCCGGTCAAGATTTGCTATAATCAAGGGCCCTACATGTTTTTGGGATAAACGAACTTTGCATGATATCATGACCACTTGCATAATAATGCACAACATGATTATTGGGATAAACGAACTTTGCATGATATCATGACCACTTGCATAATAATGCACAACATGATTATTGAGGATGAATGTGATGAGCAAGAACCACTTGCATAATAATGCACAACATGATTATTGAGGATGAATGTGATGAGCAAGAAGATATTGTCGTTTCAACTCCACCATCAATTTCAAATGTTGAAGACATAGGGATGAACGATGCCGAACGGTTCCGACAATTCCTGACCCGGCATAAGAAATTCAGAGACAAAGAAGCACACTTTGCATTTCGAAATGCATTAATTGAATATTTGTGGGAGAGACATGACAATAAAATGATGTAACTTTTTTTTATTAAAGTTTCGATGTAATTTTAAGTTAATGTATTTTATTTCTGTTTATTTTTCAATGTATTATCATTTCTAATTACTTATTTTGTAAATTTATATTTCGATATTAGTCTCATTTGAAGGTATCGACGAGACATTTCTAATGATATTATTTTTATTAAAAAATATTTAATATATTAATATATATATACAGATTTTAAGTAAGTAAAAAAATAACGGGACACAATTGGAATAATGAAATTATAACCGGGCTACATTTTGGAGAAGTGCAGCCCGGTTGGAGTAGCTCTGAGACCGGTTAACTTGAATAAAACGCTCACGTGCGGGTTTATTATTCCGTGGATTATTTTTATTGTTTTGGGGGCTAATGAGGAGTTAAACCGCCTTAACTCCTCCATTAGCCCGTTGTCAAACGAGGCGTAAGTGTCTAAACCTTAAGATTTACATATTATTGCAGGTATGGTGTCATAAAGATTAGAGAATATTGTTTAGATGTCATTGCTTGCAACTTTGAGACATTTGCTGATACCCGAGAATTCCGGGCAATGCTCTTGACTCTCCCTCCACCCTCTGGAGACTCCTCCCTGAGAACCACCAGGCCGAGTGCTCCAGGGTCTGAAGGCCAATCCGATCAAGGTAATCTTCTCGACGACTTGAGAGAGAAATGGCTCGAAGCAGAGGCGGCTGAGCTTGACAAGAGGGATGAGAGTGCTGCTCTGTTTGATAAGAGGCTAGAGATGCTGATGCTCGTTGCTGAAAGAGAAATTGGTGATGATAGTGATAAGAGGGTAAACAGTGAAGATTCCACTATTAAGTAAGATTTGTTAAATTCTTTTTCTTGCTCGAAACAAACTTTTCAAACGAGTGTCAAATGTTCAGTGGGAAAATGATCTGTGATTTATTTGTTTCTCTTGTTACGGGGATGTTTAGCTTAACAGCTCTCTTTTTTAAAGTTGAACTACATATATAAACAGAATGAAAGGTGTTTTATTCCTTTGTACATGCGTATTTTATACTCTTCTTCTACGTGCTTTTAAACTTATTTTTTCTTTCTTTCTTTTTTCCTTTTCTTTTTTCCTTTTTTTTGGTGGAAATATGGGTTATACAAGATCTAATTCAAGTTATGTTGTGTGTGTTAAAAATGCTTTTTAAACAGTGAAGGAAGATAAAACATGCAAAAGGAATGTGCTTAAGTCTATAAAATTATGGCTGAAACTAGGTCGAAATTACGAAATATATTTTATGAACTCTACGGTCCGTGTAGTTAGGGGCTGTTTGGTTGGCTAGAAAAACAAGAAAATCAAAGAAAAAGAAACATATTTCCTATAATGGGTTCTTTTCTTGTGTTTGGTTCACTTCTTAAAAGTAAGAAAATATACGAGATGAGATGAGATGAGATGAGTTGTCATCATATTATTGGATGATGTGGGTGATTTCTTAAGAAACTAATTTTATGACTTGTTATGAGGTTGTTTGGTTGGCTAAAAAACAATAAAATCAATTATAAGAAATCTATTTTCTATAATAAGTTCTTTTCTTGTGTTTGGTTCAATTTTAAAACTAAGAAAAGAGATAAGATGAGATGAGTTATCATTATATTATTGGATGGTGTGACTCATATTTAGAAAAACCCATTTTATGATTTTTTTTTTGAGAAAATGGATGAAAATCAAATTTTAATAAGATGAGCTATCACCATATTATTGGATGATATGACTCATTTTTAAAGATGAAATGAGATGAGATGAGATGATGTGACCCATTTCTTATGTTTGGTTCATTCTTAAAAGTAAGAAAGGAGATGAATGAGATGAGTTGTCATCATATTATTGGATGATGTGGGTGATTTTTAAGGATGAAAATCAATTTTAATGGTTTTCGGGGTCCTATTTCATTTTCTTTGATTTTAGGAAACCAACCAAACAGCCCCTTAGTAGAAAATTAAACTTCACGGGATTCTCAATCCCGTAGAGTTTAGAACTCTACTAAACTATAGGGGAATGAGAACCCCTAGAGTTTAGAACTCTACCGAACTATACGGGATCGGGAATCCCGTGTCGTTCATAACATATAAACTACACATTCTTAATCCCGTGTAGTTAGTTTAGTGGTTAATAGCTCAAGAGTTAAGTTACGAGTTGAAAGACCATGGTTCGAATCTTTGCTAAGTAATGAATTATTTTTCTTGTGTTTAATTTCTGAATTAGATAAATATAAAAATAAAATTACCGTTGGTGATTATAAACTTATAATCCCATTTAGTTGAAATCTAACTCTTTTGGAGCTAACCAGTTAGCCAACCACATGGGATTATAAATGTTGTGTAGTTTCTATATTATAAACTACATGACATTTCTAATCCTGTGTAGTTTAGTAGAGTTCTAAACTCTACAGGATTGAGAATCCCATGAAGTTTAATTTTCTACTAAACTGCATGAGATTCTCAATCCCATGCGGTTCTAAGACCCAACTTTAGCCCATGTTACTGACATGACTGATACTAGGTCGAATTTGATAAATAAGTTGCAACCAGGTCGAAAATGGTAATTATTTCTTAGAAAGAGTCTATTTTAAAAACGTGTCCCTAAAAACATACTTGATTGTCACATTACAAGGGATTAAGTAACTGACAAACCATCAGAAAATGAAATGGAAAGGAAATTTGCAGGAATATTAAACACTAAAATGGAAATTATAAGCTGATTAAGAAACTAACACTTCTGTTCGTGTAGCCATTGGCTGAGGACTACTGCTATATCTATAACATGCTACCTGATTAAATTCCTCAAAGGTGAACCATAGGCTCAGGTTTACAATAAAAGTTTTTGTTAATTTTCATGTCAATTACCAGCTCACTGTTCAAATATAACTGCGTATGACACTGAGATTCGATCATCAAATATCACCAACAGTTTGCACATGCCACCTTAACGAATTCAGGAAGATTTTCTTCAATAGATGAACAAAATTGAATGTCAAAAAAAATACTTATAACATAATCCAGTATCTGTGAATTATGCCGATACTCACATTCTTTTCTTTTCTTTCTTCGAATAACCAAAACAATAGATTTTACATTCAAATAAAAAAACTAAAACATCAAAATAAGAGGCATCTTTCTATCAGCAGTGTGAGAAGACACCATATGCTTTCTACCAATATATATTATCCGACGATATTTTCTGCTTCTCAAGTCTAAGAAGAGGTGTCATTGATGGTCAAATTCTCAACACTTTCAGTGACAGCGCTTTCATCTTCTCCATCGGCAGAAGGCTCTGAGGGTGGAGATGGAGGGGCCGAGTTATCTGCAGGTTGATTTTGCAGGCTCCAGTACATGATGCTGGCTGTAAGCG